AAAAAAAAAAAAAAAAAAAAAAAAAAAAAAAATGCTTGGCCAATAGTTCAGGCTTGTTACTAGCTAGCTCTTAGATTTAAAGTAACCCACATTTCCTATCTCTGCTTTGCCATGTGGCTTGGTGCCTTCTCTCAGTACGGCATGTCCTCTTGCTTCTCGCCGTGTCTGCTGAACTACTCTCCAGCTCTGCCCTTCTTCCTCACAACAGTCTCCATTTTGCTCTCCTGCCTAATGTTATCCTGTTCAGCTATTGGCCTGTCAGCTTCATTAAACCAATCACAGTGACATATATTCAAACAATGTAAAGGAATATTCCACAGGGATCCCTTGGAACTGGAGTTACAGAGAGTTGTGAGCTGGGTGCTGGGAATCCCTGAGTCCTCTGGAAGAGCAGCCAATGCTCTTAACTGCTGAGCCAGCTCATTTTTATGCATATATGTGTATAACAGGTATGCAGGAACCTGTGGAGATCACAAGAGATGTTAAGTCTCAGCACTCAGGAGGCAGAGGCGGGCAGAAATCTGTGAGTTAGAGGACAGCCTTGTCTACAAATCAAATTGGAGGACAACTAGGGCCGTTATACTGAGAAACCCTGTTTTGAAAAACAAATTAACAAACAACAACAACAAACAAAAGAGGCATTGTAGCTGAAGTTTTCTCCAGTGGCCCACGGGTGCTCAGACCCAACCAAGTAAACACAGAGACTTATATTGGTTACAAACTGCATGGCCGTGGCAGGCTTCTCGTTATCTAGTTCTTCTATCTTAAATTAACCCATTTCTGTAAATCTATACCTTACCACGTGGCTGATGGCTTACCAGTATCTTACATGTTGGTACTCATGGCTGCGGCTGGCAGTGTCTCCTGACTCAGCCTTCCTGTTCTCAGCATTCTCTTCTCTGCTTGTCCTGCCTATACTTCCAGCCTGGCTACTGGCCAGTCAGCATTTTATTTATACAGAGCGATATCCCCTAGAACTGGGGGTAGAGTTGTGAGCTGCCCTGTGGTGCTGGGAAATGAACCTGGCTTTTCTTTGAGAAGTAGGTGCTCTTAACCACTGAGCAATCTCTCCAGCCCAGGATTTGATTAATTTTGAGACACAGTCCAACTAGTAGCTCTCAGAGGCCTGGAACTTGTGTCCTCCTGCCTCAAGACTTCTGAGTGCTGAGATTACAGGCGTGTCTCACTCTACCTGCCTTCCTTTCTTTTCCTTTCCTACTTCTCTCCTTTTTCCTTGATTACATTTTTAATTTATTGTTATTATTGTCTGTGTGTGCTTACATATACGTGTCATGGAGGTATGTAGAAACCAAAGGCAATTTCTTTTCTTTATTTTTTATTTTTTTATTTTTGGTTTTTCAAGACAAGTTTGGTTTCTTGTGTAGTTTTGGTGCCTGTCCTGGATCTCGTTCTGTAGACCAGGCTGGCCCTGAACTCACAGAGATCTGCCTGGCTCTGCCTCCCGAGTGCTGGGCTTAAAGGTAGGTGCCACTG